CTGACCCAGGTATAGAGTCTGCTGCTCTAGGTGCTGGTGAGGCTGCTGCTCTAGGTGCTAGTGAGTCTCCTACTACAGGTACAGGTGAGGCTGCTGCTCTAGGTGCCAGTGAGTCTGCTCTCTCAGGTACCGCGTCGGCTCCGGCCTCTCACACCTTCACCCTTGACTCGGGGGCTTCCCGCTCCTTCTTTCGAGACCGCACGACACTCACGCCGCTTGGTCGGCCAGTTGCAGTCTCTCTGGCAGACCCCTTTGGGGGTCCTGTCCTTGCTCACTTCTCCACTGTCCTCCCGTGTCCGGCGGCCCCCTCTGGCACCCTGTCTGGTCTTTACCTCCCCTCGTTCTCTACGAACTTGGTGAGTGGTGCTGACCTACAGGATGCGAGGGTTCACCAGTTCACTCCTGCGAGTCAGCGGGTGACCCACTACACGGACGCTCGGACAGGCCGACACCTGGCCACGTTTACACGTCAGCCGGGGTCGAGCCTGTACACACTGACCACTGAGTCTCCTCCAGTCACTGCATCTGGTAAGGTAGCTGCATCGGGTCAGGTGTTTGCTGCAGCATCCAGGTCTGGTCCTGAGTCTGCCCCCTGCTCGTGTCGCCTCCTGTCTCACGAGACTCTCCTCTGGCACCACCGCCTTGGTCACCCCTCCCTATTTCGTCTCCGAGGCATGGCCTCCCGTCTCCTTGTCTCTGGTCTTCCCCGGTCCCTCCCTCCCCTTCCTCCGGGGCCTGCCCCTGCCTGCGTCCCTTGTGTCGAGGGGCGGCAGCGGGCTGCCCCTCACTCCTCCCAGTTTCCTCCGACAGAGGCCCCGCTGCAGACGCTTCACATGGACGTGTGGGGCCCGGCCCGCGTCCGTGGACAGGGTCATGAGCGCAACTTCCTGCTGGTGGTTGAAGACTACTCGCCTTACACCACAGTCTTCCCCTTGCGCAACAAGGGTGATGTCATTGAGGTGTTGATCGACTGGATCCGCGCAGCTCGTCTCCAGCTCAGGCAGAGCTTCGGCTCGGACTTTCCTGTTCTGCGTCTGCACTCTGACAGAGGCAGAGAGTTCTCCTCTGGCCTTCTGCGAGCCTACTGTCGTGCACAAGGCATCCGCCAGACCTTCACGCTTCCGGACTCTCCACAGCAAAATGGGATTGCTGAGCGCCGCATTGGCATGGTCATGGACGTCGCCCGTACGTCCATGATGCATGCGGCTGCCCCCCATTTTCTGTGGCCGTTTGCGGTTCGGTACGCGGCGCATCAGATCAACCTTCAGCCCAGGGTCTCCATGCGAGAGACCTCCCCAGCTTTGCTGTGGACGGGGAAGGTTGGCGATGCGTCTTTGTTCCGTGTCTGGGGATCTCGGGCGTTTGTCCGCGACTTGTCTGCGGACACGCTGTTCCCTGCGTCTTCCTTGGCTTCCCCCCTGACGCGCCAGGGTGGCAGTTCTACCACCCCACCTCTCGCCATGTTCTATCCCCCTAAGACATCACGTTTGACGAGTCGGTCCCCTACTACCGCCTCTTCCCCTATCGCACTCCGTCTCTCCCCCCGCCACCGCTCTTCCTTGTGCCAAGTCCCCCCCCGGTAGACCCCCTCCCCCCTCAGGGTCCTGCCCCTTCAGGTGTGTCCCAGGTAGACGCAGTCGAGCCTGTCGAGGTTACTGGTGACTCTGGTGCTGCTGAGGGTGCTGAGCCTGGGGGTGCTGACTCTGGGGGTGCTGAGCGTGTGGGGGCTATGCTTGGGGGTGATAAGCCTGAGGGTTCTACTACTGGGGGTGCTGAGCCTGGGGGTGCTGGGCCTGGGGGTGCTACGCCTGGGGGTGCTGAGCCTTGGGGTGCTTCGACTGGGGGTGCTGAGCCTGGGGGTGCTACGCCTGGGGGTGCTGAGCCTGGGGGTGCTACGCCTGGAGGTGCTGAGCCTGGGAGTGCGGATCCTGAGGGAGCTGGGCCTGCTCGTGTCGCGTCTGGCGGTACTGGCTTGGAGGTTCTCCGGGTGCTTCGTCTCGGCGGGAGCCACTCTCTCCACAGGAGCTGCGCGAGTGGTTTGCCCGACGCTGGAGGCGTGCTGCTGGAGCTGGAGGTTCTTCAGCTGCTGAGGGTGCTGGTGTCGCGGGTCGCAGAGGTGCTCGTACTTGGAGTACTGGAGCTGCTGGACCTGCGGGTACGACTGGAGCTGGAGCTGCTGAGGGTGCTGGCGCTGAGGCCACTGCTGTCGGTCCTGGAGGCGTTCCTGCTGGGGGTGCTACTGGTGCTGCTGGAGGTACTGGAGCTGGAGGTGCTGCTGGTGCTGGTGCTACCACTGGGGTTAATGGTGGTGTCCCTACGTGTCTGGATTCGCCGCGCGGCCCCGGCCGTACTTCGTTCCACTCCTTCAGCAGGTTCTTGGTCTCCCGCCTTCTACTGGTCCTCCTCCTCCCTTAGAGTGTCCACAGCCTGTCCCGTCACAGTTACAGCTACAGCCGGCCTCCCCACTACTTGCTCCTTCTCCCTACACTGGTCCTACTGGAGGTCTTGCTGAGCGCCGTGAGCCTGCGTCTCGCCCTGCGTCGCCTGTCCGTGCTGCTCGCACTAGTGATCGTGGTTCGCGTCAGCGTCCTCCTCGTGTCCCTGGCACGCACCGGATGTCTCTGCGTCCGTCCACTGCTCCTTTGCGTGCCCCTTTTCCTTCTCCTCATGAGTCCTCTCTTCCTGCTCTTCCCGACCCGGAGTCGGACTCTCTTCGTGCTGCCAGTCCTACTGTCACGCGTCTCCTTGCTACTGTTGTCACTGGCCCTTCCTTTGAGTCCACTGATGCGTCTGCCCTAGTTGCTGCTCACTGTCGTCTAGACTACGCTGCTAGTCTTGTCGCTGAGTCTGAGTCTGTTTGTACTCAGTCCGTCGGGGTGAGAGTGCCCTTGGCACGGACGTCCTTGAGGACAGGCAGGAGGAGTTCCAGTGTTTGGCTGCTGCTTCACCTCATCTCGTGTCCGTACTGCTTACCCCTGAGGGAGACCCGGATGCACTTGATATCCTGACTCCGCGCTCTTACGCGGAGGCGATAGAGGGTCCCTACTCCTCTTAGTGGCAGGCAGCTATAGACGCAGAGATGGCTTCCTGGAAGTCCACAGGCACCTACGTTGACGAGGTTCCCCCGCCTGGGGCGAACATCGTCAGTGGCATGTGGATTTTCAGGGTGAAGCGGCCGCCGGGTTCTCCGCCTGTCTTCAAGGCGCGTTACGTGGCTCGTGGCTTCAGTCAGAGGCCGGGAGTTGACTACTTTCAGACCTTCTCTCCCACCCCGAAGATAACCACTCTTCAGGTACTGCTGCACATAGCTGCTCACCGTGACTATGAGCTGCACTTTCTTGACTTCAGCACTGCTTTCTTGTAGGGCAGCCTGCACGAGGAGATTGGCTACGTTGCCCACCTGGCTTCACTGGGTCTTTTCCTCATGGCACCCAGTGGAGCCTCCGGCGGCCGGTCTACGGTCTCCGCCAGGCACCGCGTGAGTGGCACGACACACTGAGGACTACACTTGCGGCTCTTGGGTTTGCTCCCTCTACTGCCGACCAGTCACTGTTTCTGCGCACCGACACTTCTTTGCCGCCGTTCTACATCCTTGTGTACGTTGACGACTTGGTCTTTGCCACTGCTGACACTGCTGGACTCGCCCACGTGAAGTTCGAGCTACAGAAGAGACACACGTGCACAGACCTGGGTGAACTGCGCAGCTACCTTGGCTTGCAGATCACCCGGGACAAAGCACGCCGCACCATTACCCTGACTCAGTCACACATGGTGCAGCAGGTCCTTCAGCGCTTCGGCTTCACGTACTCCTCGCCTCAGGCCACTCCTATGCCTACTCGCCACTCGCTCTCGGTTCTGCCTTCGGATGAGTCAGAAGAGTTGAGTGGCCCGTATCCAGAGCTTGTTGGCTGCCTCATGTACCTGATGACCTGCACAAAACCTGACCTTGCATACCCTCTTAGCATTCTCGCACGCTATGTTGCTCTTGGGAGACACAGACCAGAGCACATGGCTGCAGCGAAGAGGGTGTTGCGCTACTTGTGCAGTACGTCGGGCATGGGGCTTGTGCTTGGAGGGAAGAGTCCTGTGGTCCTCACTGGGCACGCAGACACTTCTTGGGCTGACGACCAGGCTACGCAGCGGTCGTCACAGGGTTACACCTTCAGCCTTGGTTCCGGCTCTGTTTCGTGGTGGGCTACCCGCTCGTCTGCTGTTCTCGGCTCCAGTTGTGAGGCTGAGATATACGCAGGAGCCATGGCTGCACAGGAGCTTCGCTGGCTCACCTACTTGCTGACTGACCTCGGAGAGCCGCCTCGTTCTCCTCCAGTGGTGTACGTAGACATCAAGGCCATGCTGGCCTTGTGTCGAGAGCAGAGAGTGGAGCACAGAACGAAGCACATTGCTCTTCGCTACTTCCTTGCTCGTGAGCTACAGCAGCGTGGTCAGCTGCGGCTTGCATACGTGGCCTCCGAGGCCAACACTGCTGATATCTTCACCAAGGCACTTGCGCCTTCTGATCATCAGCGCTTCTGTACTCAGCTGGGTCTTGTGCCTACCTTGCCTCACTTGCTCACCCCTTGACCTTGTTTGTACTGTTACATATATATATACACCTGCTTTTGCTTGTCTAGTGTTATATATATATGTAATCCTGCATGTGAACTGGCCTTGTGGCCTTGAACTTGTGCTCGGAATGTGTGGTGACTTTGTGATCCACCCTGAGCTTGCTTTGCTTTGCTTGACTAGTCTTGTGACCCCTTGTTCTCCCCCACTTTGCCTATGGGGGTGTGTCAGATTTATATGACATAGCTACTGTAGGCTATAGTGGGGTAGCACAAATGGCGTACATCTTTCTAGGGTTTGTACTTGTACCCAACGTTCCCTTAGTCATTTCATTCTCGTTTCAGTTTTCTCAAGGACCTCATCTCTCACCTACGCGCTATTGACACTCGCCTTCGTGCCACCCTTCCAGCCGAGTTCCTCACAGAGAACGGCCCCCGATGTACTTTACTCTCTACTTCCTCATCACCCGCCTCCCTGACACTCTTCGCTCAGTCAGGGACCACTTCCTCGCCCTTGACCCCCATTCTCTCACTGTCGACGACCTCGAGAAGCACCTCCTCGCAGCAGAGAAGAACATCCTCGCTGTAGGTGCTGCTCGCGGGACTCCTCGCTCTCCCCTCTTTGAGGGGTGCTCCCCCTCCCCTCTTACCCCCTCATACGCCTCCGCAGCTGCTGCTCTCGACTACCTTGGTGCTGAGGAGGTCGGGGCTGCTTTCGCTCCTAGTGGGAAGCACCGCAGCGGCAGGGGCGGCAAGGGTGGCAGGGGAGGTGGGGGTGGCGGAGGGGGTGGCGGTGGAGGGAGCGGTGGTGCAAGCGGCGGGGGAGGTGGAGGTGGTGGGGGTGGTCGTGGGGGTGGAGGTGGTGGAGGTGGTTTTGGGGGCGGCGGAGGCACTGGGAGCAGTGGAGGTGGCAGCGGCGGTGGTGGGGGAGGAGGGAGCGGTAGTGGCAGTGGTGGTCAGGGGCAGCAGCAGCAGCAGCAGCAGCGTCAGCGTCAGCGCCAGACCCCCACTTCCCAGCAGCTTCTTGATTGGTATGCTGGGCGTGGGGTTTCTGGGGGTCCTGGTCACTGCCCCTACACTATTCGTGGTCCCACAGGTCCCCACGCTGGTCGCCAGTGCACAGGGTTTCACACTGAGCAGCGTTGCTTCGCTCGGTTTAGCGACGCCTGGCGCGTCAAGTTTCCTGATGCTCCTGAGTTCCCCAACTGGGCAGAGCTGCTTAGGCGTGATGTACCTATATTTGATCTTGACTATGAGGCTATTCTTGCTGCCATGTATGCATTGACTGTTAGTGCTGAGGGTGACTGCTAGTACTGGTGTGTGCCGCCGGATCCTGGTATAGCCCCTGCAGCACTAGGTGCGTGTTAGTCTGCTCCCCCTGGTACTGCACCTGCACAGGCCTTGCACACCTTTACACTTGACTCTGGTGCTTCGCGCTGATTCTTTCGCGACAGTACCACAGTCACTCCCCTCCCTGCACCTGTTCCTATCTCACTGGCTGACCCCTCTGGGGGCCCGGTGCTTGCACGGTCTTCCACTGTGCTTCCTTGTCCGGCGGTCCCGTCTGGTGAGCTATTTTGTCTCCACCTCCCCTCGTTCTCTACGAACTTGGTGAGCAATGCTGTCCTCCAGGATGCGGGTGTTGATACCTTCACCCCTGGCCGGCAGCGTGTGGCGATCTGCACGTGCTCCCAGACCGGCCGCCACCTGGCCACGTTCACCCGTGCGCCAGGGTCCAGTCTGTACACCCTCACCACTACGTCGCGCTCCCCCCCTTTGTCTCCCCAGCTGCACGCGTCTGCTCAGGCAGCTACCCAGTGTCAGCGTCGTCGGTTGTCTCACGACACTCTCCTGTGGCACCACCGCCTAGGCCACCCCTCCCTGCCTCGCCTTCGTAGCATGCACTCTCGCTTTCTGGTCTCTGGTCTTCCCAGGTCTCTGCCTGCCCTCCCTCCCTCGCCTGCGCCGCCCTGCATTCCTTGCGTCGAGGGGCGGCAACGCGCTGCTCCTCAGTTCTCCTCGTTCCCTCCCACAGAGGCTCCACTGCAGACTCTCCACCTGGACGTGTGGGGACCAGCCCGCGTCCGTGGACACGGCCACGAGCGGTACTTCCTGCTGGTTGTCGACGACTACACGGGCCACACCACGGTCTTCCCCTTGCAGCGCAAGGGGGAGGTCCCTGATGTTTTGATCCCCTGGATTTGCGCTACTCGTCTCCAGCTCCGCGAGCGGTTCCAGTCGGACTTTCCTGTCCTGCGTCTGCACTCTGACAGAGGTGGTGAGTTCTCCTCAGACCTCTTGGCAGCCTTCTGTGCGGAGCACGGCATCCGCCAGACTTTCACGCTTCCGGCCTCTCCGCAGCAGAATGGGGTTGCTGAGCGCCGCATTGGCTTGGTCATGGAGGTCGCTCGTACCTCCATGATCCATACGGCTTCCCCCCATTTTATGTGGCCGTTTGCGGTCCGGTACGCCGCGCATCAGCTCAACATTTGGCCCCGTGTCTCCTTGCCGGAGACCTCGCCCACACTGCCGTGGACGGGGAAGGTTGGCGACGCGTTGCGTTTCCGGGTCTGGGGTGCTCGTGCCTTTGTTCGCGATACCACCGCGGACAAGCTCTCCCCTCGCGCCCTTCCTTGCGTCTTCCTTGGCTTTGTCCCTGACGCGCCTGGCTGGCAGTTTTACGACCCCGCCTCGCGCCGTGTCTTAGCGTCCCAGGACGTTACCTTTGACGAGTCTGTCTCCTTTTACCGCCTCTTCCCCTACCGCACTGCTCCTCGCCCTCTCCCGCCGCTCTTTCTTGCCCCAAGTCCTCCCCAGGTAGACCCCCTCCCCGCGCCAGGTCCTACTCCTTCAGGTGTTTCTCAGGTAGACCCTCCCGTCCCTGCGCCTGTTGAGGTCACTGGTGACTCCGGTCCTGCTGGCGGTGGCGCTGTCCCTGGGGGTGCGGAGCTTGGGGGTGCGCAGCATGGGGGTGCTGAGTCTAGAGGCACTGGGCGTGAGGGGCCTGAGGGTATAGAGCCTGGAGGTCCTGAGCCTGGGGGTGCTGCGTCTGGGGGTGCTCCGTCTGGGGGTGCTGCGTCTGGGGGTGCTGAGCCTGCGTGTGCGGAGCCTGGGGGTGCTGAGTCTGGGGGTGAGTCGCCTGAGGGTTCTGAGACTGCTGTTACGCGGTCTCCTTGGAGTAGCCGTCTTCGTCCGCGTGTGCCTCTCACCTCCCAGCAGCTGCACGACTGGTACGGTCGCCGTCAGCGTCGCGCTTTTGCACCTCCGGGCTCTACTGCTGGGGGTTCTTCTGCTGGCGTCACTGGAGCCGGGAGTGGTGCTGGTCCTTTGCCTGCTAGAGGTGCTGGTGTTGCTGGTCCCGGAGGTGCACGTACTGGGGGTACTGGAGCTGCTGGGGCTGACGGTGGTGTGTCTGAGGGTGCTGCTGCTGGTGGCACTGCGGTTGGAGACCCTGGGACTGGAGGTGCCGGTTCTGGGGGTGCTGCACCAGGTGGGGCTGGTGGTGAGGGTTCTGGAGCTGCTGGAGCTGCTGAGGGTACTCGAGCTGCTGGAGGTGCTGGAGCTGCTGAGGGTACAAGAGCTGCTGGAGGTGCTGGAGCTGCTGAGGGTACAGGAGCTGCTGGAGGTGCTGGAGCTGCTGAAGGTGCTGGAGCTGCTGAGGGTGCTGGAGCTGCTGGAGGTGCTGGAGCTGCTGAGGGTGCTGGAGCTGCAGGTGCTGGTGGCACTGCACAGCCGCGCCTGTTCTTTGCTTCGCCGTCTCCGTCGTCTCTGCCACTGCCTGACTACGTGCTTCGCCAGGTTCTTAGCCTCCCGTCGTCTACTGGTCTTCCGTTACAGCCTGGCTCACCTCTGCCTGCTCCTTCTCCTTACGCTGAGCTCACAGGGGGCCTTGCTGAGCGTCGTGAGCCTGCGTTACGTCCTGTCTCGCCTGTAAGTTCGGTTGTTCCAGTCGTCATGTTCCTCGTTAGCGTCAGCCGGTTGTCCCCGGCCCTTCCCTTGTCGTCCGTCGTCCTTCCTCTCCGCCGCCACGTGTTCACCTGCCGTCTCCGCCTGCGTCTTCTCTACCTGTCGTTGCTGACCCTGAGTCTGGCCAGTTTCGTGCTGAGCACCCTACTGTCACGCGTCTGCTAGCCAGTGCTGTCGCCGACCCGTCGTTTGAGTCTGCTGCTGCGTCTGCCTTAGTCGCTGAGCTTGTTGACTTTGCTGCTACCTGTCGTCTAGACTACGCCGCTAGTCTTGTTACTGAGTCTGAGACTGTCTGTCCTCCATCCGTCGGAGGTGAGTGTGCTCTTGGCACGGACGTCCTTAAGGACAAGCAAGAGGACCTTGAGTGTCTTGCAGTCGCTGCGCCTCATCTTGTGGCCATGCTGCTTGCCCCTGAGGGAGACCCGGATGCACCAGACATCCCGACTCCGCGATCGTACTCTGAGGCGATCGAGGGTCCCTACTCCTCTTAGTGGCAGACAGCCATGGACGCAGAGATGGCATCCTGGAAGTCCACAGGCACCTACGTCGACGAGGTTCCCCCTCCTGGGGCGAACATCGTCAGTGGCATGTGGATTTTCAGGGTGAAGCGGCCGCCAGGCTCTCCGTCTGTCTTCAAGGCTCGTTACGTTGCTCGAGGCTTCAGTCAGCGAGAGGGAGTTGACTTCTTCCAAACCTTCTCCCCCACCCCAAACATGACTACTCTTCGGGTGCTGCTGCACGTTGCCGCTCAGCGTGACTACGAGCTTCACTCTCTTGACTTCAGCACATCTTTCTTACATGGCAGCCTGCACGAGGAGATCTAGCTGCGCCGTCCACCTGGCTTCACTGGGTCGTTCCCTCCTGGTACCCAGTGGAGCCTCCGACGGCCAGTCTACGGTCCCCGCCATGCGCCACGTGAGTGGCACGACACACTGAGGACGACTCTTGCGGCTGTTGGGTTTGCCCCGTCGCTGTTTCTGCACACCGACAGTTCGCTGCCGCCGTTCTACATCCTCGTGTACGTCGACGACTTGGTCTTTGCCACTGCTGACACTGAGGCTCTCGCCCTGGTGAACTCGGAGCTGCAGAAGAGGCACACGTGCACAGACCTGGGTGAGTTGCGCAGCTACCTTGGCTTGCAGGTCACCCGGGACAGAGCACGGCGCACCATCACACTGACTCAGTCACACATGGTACAGCAGGTCCTTCAATGCTTCGGCTTCACCTGGTCCTCCGCATAGGCCACTCCTTTGGCTACAGGTCACTCGCTCTCAGCTCCACCTTCGGACGAGTCCGTAGAGCCGAGTGGTCCTTTTCCAGAGCTAGAGGGCTGCCCCATGTACCTGACGACCTGCACTCGTCCTGACCTTGCGTACCCTCTTGGCCTTCTGGCTCGCTACGTGGCTCCTGGTCGTCACCGAAAGGTGCACATGGATGCTGCTAAGAGGGTACTACGCTACTTGTGCAGTACATCGGGCATGGGGCTCGTGCTTGGAGGGCGGGGTGACGTTGTCCTGACTAGTCACTCGGACGCCTCTTGGGTTGACGACCAGGCTACGCAGCGGTCGTCACAGGGTTACACCTTCAGCCTTAGCTCTGGTTCTGTTTCCTAGCGTTTTACACGCTCGTCTTCAGTTCTCGGCTCCAGTTGTGGGGCTGAGATCTACGCCACAGCCATGGCTGCACAGGAGCTACGCTGGCTCACTTACCTGCTGACCGACTTGGGAGAGCGGCCTCGTTCTCCTCCAGTGCTGTACGTCGACAACAAGGCCGCCATTGCCTTGTGTCAGGAGCACAGACTAGAGCACAGAGCGAAGCACATTGCTCTTCGTTACTTCCTTGCTCGAGAGTCACAGCAGCGTGGCCAGCTTCATCTTGCTTAAGTGGCCACTTGGGCCAACACTGCTGATATATTCACCAATGCACTTCCGCCTCGTGATCATCAGCGTTTCTGTACATTGTTAGGCCTTGTACCCACACTTCCCCACTTGCTATAGGCTTTGCTTGTACTGTGATTTATATATATATACCTGCTTGCTTGCTCTGGTGGGTGGAGATCACTGTGTTGTTGTTGTGAACTGGCCTTTTGCTTGTGCTCGGACTGCATGGAGACGTTGTGATCCACCCTGAGCTTGCTTTGCATTTCCTGACTGGTCTTGTGACCCTCTGTTCTCCCCCATTTGGCCAATGGGGGTGTGTCAAACATATATCTATGTTTATAGTTATGGTAGGCTTAGTGGGGTACTCACTATGGGGTACAACCCCTTAGGTTTTTCCTTTGTACCAATTCTCTCGACAGTCCAACTTCACTCATGCCTATACTTTAAGACGCTCATCCGTTGGTA